GGGGATGGAGGGGAGGGTGGGGATGGAGGGGAGGGTGGGGATGGAGGTTTGTCTGGGTGGAATATCTTCGGATGGTCAGTGTAGACTCGATGGGCCAAATGGCCTATTGCCACACTAGGTATTCTATGAGGATTACAGATCTGCACAGACACAACTTAATCCCTCAAGGACCACACTTCAAGAGTCAATGTTTTAAACAAACTTCACTCCTATGACCCAGTAGTTTAGATGACTGACTATCCCACAAAAAGTAAATAAGGGCACTTCCTTCAGTGCTGTAATTAACATTCCTTCTTTATTTGCTTCCACAAAATAAAGGTGAATCATTTCTGTAAGTGAGATCCTATTGTTGACATAACAGTTGAAAAGAACCGATTAGGGAGGGAGAGAAAACGGTTTTGGTCTCTCAAATCTGCTGGGGGCTTCCAGTATTTTCTGTTTATATTTCAGTTTCAGCATCCTTAACATTTTGCTTTCATACAAACGAGGGAAACCAGTCTGGCCCAGCAAAGTGCCAGCACAGACAGAACACTCAGTGCCCTTGAGACAATTACCTACGCTTCTAAAATATTTAAAATGTATTCAGCATAGATAAACCACTGCACGGGTAGCGGTTTCTCGTGAATTTATGAATTCTAACTGAAGCTGGGAGCAGAAGCAAACTGCTGCCTAAGACTGGAATTTACTACTGGAAGTGGTGACTGGTGGCTTTTATAAATGTACTGTTAAAACAAAAATGCTACATTATCTGGTGAAATTCTGGACATTGAGATCTATTTAATTGACTGACTCATACTTACATCAAACGTTTGAGTCACTTTTAAGGGGCGTGAGCTTCAGTAGGAACTCCCACACACACTTGGGATGACAAATGAAACATGATGCATTTTGAATAAAGAAAAGCAAATCAGAAACATATGACATGCGACTTAATGGGGAAATGACCAGAAATTGCTTTTCCAAGCCACAGAGGAGACTGTAGTAACAGGATCTAAATCCTCCTATTCAGATGCAAAAGTCAATTTACTGATTCAGAGCCCTCTCA